CAAAAAAAAAAAAAAAAAAAAAATCGTATGATAGAATTTGAATCACCCTGTTATTCAGTATCAACTTCGATATTGGTTCTCAGTAATGCTTATGAATTTTGTTCGTTGGGGTGTCTCAGGTCATTCAACGGTGCATGCTGTCGTTGGGTGAGCTAAAGATTGTATTAAGATATGGCGTCTTTCATAAAGCCAGAGAATGCTTTAAAACGAGCTGAAGGTGAATGAGCATAATGTTCTCTTTTGTGGTTGCAATAGATTAAGTTGTATTTGCGAGCATGCCATAAGTTTCTTGGCACCTTGTTTTAGTAATATGTCTGGTTCTTTTGATGGATTCTCGTACATTAAGCCCTCAAAATTCAATGAATGTGCTCGTTGGGAAGTTAGTTCAGCACTCTTGTTCTGAGTGAGATTGAAAATATGCATTATTAGTGTGTTGATGACTGTGGATTTAGTGATGACTTTTGGAAGTTTTCCATTTAGTTTGCTTCATTGTAGTCTTCGCATTACTTTTGAAAATTAGTGATTTGATAACTTGTTCTAGCTGTTGTGACATGTAAGTAATAGTTCTTTTTTTGTGCGTGTGGCATATGACGTATGAGCACTATAGTTAGATAGCATATTCATGTTTTGAATTTTGTGTTCTCATGAGTTTATTTATTTATTTTTTTTTTTTTATTTTTTTTTTATTGTGGAAACATGCAATTTGGCTTTTCATCATTTTTAAGTGTTTCTGAACTCACTTCCTTTTCTTATTGTATAATGTATCTGTATAACATAATTTGAACGGTAGTTGGAAGATTTTAGAAAATCATTGGAATACCCCTTTTCTAATTCTGGGCATATAAAATGTCAGTTTGCGACTTGTGTTTCTTGTTACTTGAGTTCGATATTTGTGTTTCTAGTCCAGCACTGTTGATGTATTCGCCCAATTTTGAAATTTATGATGCATCTATTGTGTGTTTTTATTTTATTTTATTCTTTTTGTTTAACGTAGCAGTGCAAGTATTTAATTTGTTCTCCTTGCATGTATTCAGAGCTGATAAATGTTGGCCAGAAGCAAGATGCCTTGCAAGCCCTTCACGATCTTATCACTTCAAAGAAATATCGAGCATGGCAGAAACCTCTTGAGAGGATTATGTTTAAGTATGTTGAGCTCTGTGTGGACATGAGGAAAGGAAGGTTTGCTAAGGATGGTTTAATTCAATACCGTATTGTTTGCCAGCAAGTCAATGTTACTTCTTTAGAGGAAGTAATCAAGCACTTTATGCATCTTTCCACTGAGAAGGCAGAGCAGGCTCGTAGCCAAGCTCAAGCTTTAGAAGAAGCTCTGGATGTTGATGATTTGGAAGCTGATAAAAGGCCAGAAGATCTGATGCTTAGTTATGTCAGTGGTGAGAAGGGAAAGGATAGATCTGATCGTGAACTTGTAACCCCTTGGTTTAAATTTCTGTGGGAGACATATCGTACAGTTCTTGAGATACTTAGGAATAACTCAAAGTTGGAGGCACTTTATGCGGTAGGTCATGAATAAATTTCTAGTTATGTAGCATATGAGTTATTAAGTTAATTTTTTCTGTTTCTTTCTTCTGAAAAATTAGAAGTATATCATGATTGAATTTTTAGTACTATGGTGAAATTTTCATTTGGGCTTGGGTGTAGTAGTTAAATCCATTATATTATCACTCAGCATCCTAATGGTTCTAATGGTTGATGGATTTAAGAATTCTTTTTTTTTTTTTTTTGGGTTGTATTACAAGTTTAGTCCTTAAACTTTCAGCTTTGTGTAAATTTGGCCCCTAAACTTATAATAGGTCCATTAGCATTCAACCTTGTGTCCGATAGGTCAAGAACTGCAGAGTTGATGGACCTATTAGGCTTAATTTTTTTTTTACGTCAAATCATGTCATGGGACCTATTAAGCACAATTGAAAGTTGAGGGACCTACTAGATATTTTCAAAATTCAAGGACCTTGATCAAATAGACATAAATTTTGAGGTTGAGGATTAAACTTGTAAATTTTTATTGATAACTTGAAAAATATATATTAGTTGGCTAATGTTTTGAAGATTGAGCTATGATATGTTGAATTTTCATTCTTTACCTTCTACATAACACGATTTTCAGAAGAGGAAGATACAAAAATATTCTGGAGAAGGTCACAGGCCTTACTCAGTATGATTGTAGATGGATCTGCATTTTTATTTTTATTGTCCTTGATGTGTTCTGTACAGTCACTCGATGAAGCATGTAGAATTTTGTAACTAGATGTAATATTTCTGCTGGTGTTTTTCATTTGTAGATGACAGCCCATCGTGCCTTCCAGTTCTGTAAGACGTATAAAAGAACAACAGAATTTCGCAGATTATGTGAAATTATCAGAAATCATCTTGCTAATCTCAACAAGTATAGAGACCAAAGAGATCGACCTGACATTTCTACTCCAGAGACTTTGCAGTTGTACCTTGACACTAGATTTGAACAACTGAAAGTTGCCACAGAGCTGGAGCTCTGGCAGGTCTGAGTTGTTCATTTCAGTCATTTTTCTCTCAATATAGAGAAGTCGTTTAATGTGTAGATTCCCAAAATTTATATCATGATTTCTTCTCTACATATAACACAAAGTAAAAAATTTCTTTGTCACAAAATTTGCAGGAAGCTTTTCGTTCGGTAGAAGATATTCATGGTTTGATGTGCATGGTGAAGAAAACACCTAAACCATCCTTGATGGTGGTTTATTATGTCAAATTAACAGAGATATTCTGGATATCGAAGAGCAATCTTTATCATGCCTATGCTTGGCTTAAACTTTTCTCCCTTCAGAAGAGTTTCAACAAAAATTTAAGCCAGAAGGATTTGCAGCTGATAGCTTCATCTGTTCTTTTAGCAGCTCTTGCGGTGTCCCCCTATGACTCTAAACACGGTGCCTCTCATTTAGAACTCGAACATGAGAAAGAGCGGAATTTGAGGATGGCTAATCTTATAGGGTTCAATTTAGACTCCAAACTTGAAAGTAGAGATGTGGTAAAGAACTTTGCCTAATTGGATTTTCTTTTATATTTTTCACAACCTGAGCAGTACCTTACTTCTTTTCTGTTTATTCATCCAGCTTTCAAGATCGAATCTTCTTTCTGAACTGGTATGTTTGATTGACTTTACTTTGATATTTTTTCAACGCTTCCCCTCTTATTCTCTAAAATTATGATACTTCAATTGGTTCACATTTATTTGAAGCTAGAAGGGTGAATAGTAAAATTCTATACCTTGAGGAATTAACTTGAGCTTCCTATTGAAAGTTTAGCAACTAATACTGATTAGCTTCGTACTAAGATAGTCAAAGAGGCTCTTTAATTTTACTTTATTAGGGCTGATGTGCAATCATATGTACCTCCCCTTTTATACGAAGAATTGTCTTTTCATTTGTAGTGAAAATTGTGTGCAAATATGTAACACAACCTTTAGTATGTAGGCAATAATTCTAGTTCTATTTGCTTAGTATATTTCTGCTTTCCTTTAGGTGTCTAAGGGAGTCCTGAGCTGCTCAAATCAGGAAGTTAAAGATCTCTATCATCTTTTGGAGCATGAATTCTTCCCTCTTGATCTTGCAACAAAATTGCAACCTTTACTAAACAAAATATCAAAGCTTGGAGGCAAGCTTTCATCAGCTTCATCTGTCCCTGAAGTGCAATTGTCCCAGTATGTTCCGGCTCTTGAAAAACTTGCTACCCTGAGGTTGCTTCAGCAGGTACTTTTTGTATATCCTTAATTTATTGTGAATGTTGCTATGATATTTCTCCATATATGAAGAAAAACGTTGCTTGGCAATCTTTTTTTAATCCACTGAACCTTTTATTTATCTATGTTATGCCAGGTCTCCAAGGTGTATCAGACTATGAAAATTGAGAGTCTATCTCAGATGATCCCATTTTTTGATTTCTCGGCCGTGGAGAAAATATCAGTTGATGCAGTTAAACAAAATTTCATTGCCATGAAAGTTGATCATTCAAGGAACATTGTGTTATTTGGAACTTTGGTATTGAAAGTTTCTTGGACTTCTTCGTTATCTTTTTTGCTTTAGAGTCGAGGCCACTAAGATTTGAGACATGCTCGATAATTGCATCTCACTTACAATGTTAATATATCCCATCTAATTATTGTGTGCTGTTTAAGATTATAATTTAACCCTTCTGATTTAAGCCTCTGCCTTTTTTGTATTTGTTAGTTGGTTTCATCTTCAAGATATCTTAAGATCTTATTCAATTTATTTATATTGAATTTAAAGGACGACTTTATCTTCATCTGTTTATTTATATTAGGATTTAAGGTATTTTAAATTGATGCTTTTGTTTTTTATGGATCAATTTAGGGTATTGAATCAGATGGGCTTCGGGACCACCTGGCTGTTCTTGCTGAATCCTTAAACAAAGCTAGAGCTATGATCTATCCTCCAGTTAGGAAAGTATCAAAAACAGGTGAGATACTGCCTGATTTAGCAGATATTGTTGATAAAGAACACAAGAGGCTGCTTGCTCGGAAATCAATAATAGAGAAAAGGAAGGAAGAGCAGGAACGGCAACTTTTGGAAATGGTATTCTAGTCGAATTGTGAATGCCAGAATTTTTTTTTTTTTTTGTGGTGTATAAATTAAAAAAAAAAATGATGAACTGTGTTTAGGAACGTGAGGAGGAATCAAGGAGGTTAAAATTACTGAAGATAACTGAAGAGGCTGAGCAGAAGCGCCTAGCTGCAGAATATGAACAAAGGAAAAACCAACGCCTGCGTAGGGAAATGGAAGAGCGAGAACTTGAAGAAGCGCAGGCTTTACTTCAGGAAGCTGAAAAGCGTGTTGGTAAAAAGAAGGGAAGCAGGAAGCCCGTTCTTGACTCTGTGAGTTTTTTTTTGTTTTAATTCTTTTTCTTATTTTGGAAGGATGTAGAATTGATTAATAACAATTGGTATTAATCTCTAGGAAAAGATGACGAAACAAACTTTAATGCAATTGGCCCTTACGGAACAATTAAGGGAGAGGCAGGAAATGGAGAAGAAATTGCAAAAGCTAGCCAAAACTATGGATTATCAAGAAAGGGCAAAAAGAGAGGAGGCTGCAACTTTAATTGAAGCTGCATTTCAGCAACGTTTGCTCGAAGAGCGAATGATTCATGAACGCGATCAACAGGTCATACTTTCCTAATGATTTTGTCAACACGTTAAAATAAACTATGACTTTGATTATATTCTTTTGGTTGTAGTCCTTTTATTGTTATTGTTTTTTTAAAAATTCTGTATTATATGATTTTGCCATCTTTTGTATTATATGCATCATGATTCTCCATTTATGAAGCATTGCTGTCAACACATTTCTGTATTGTGAGGGTGGGAATCAAACTAGCAGAGTACTCACTACTACATTCATGGAGGCTCTCCAGTAGTATAAAAGATTCAACTTTTTTTATTAGTACTTTCGGTTTTTGTGAAATGTGGGTTTGACAACAGTGTTATTGCATGTATGGTAACGTGAAGCCAGGTAGTGCAGTAAATTTATCGAAGTGGTTAATGCGGAGAGGGAAGTTCTAGCTGAAATATTGGTGCAGGGTCTTCAGAATTTTTATCTCGGATAGGATTGCTGTAATCCTATGTGAACTTCATAAAGCTGAACTGATGCTTCTGCACATGACTTATTTAGTGGATTTACCATTTTCAAGGATTAGTTTTAATGTTTCTGATGTCGAATGGTTAATTTTGTTTTGTATGGATTCCATATATTTCCAGTTTATGGTATGTCCAATGTGCTTCAATTTTTGTCATCAGATTTTTTATTTCCAGTTTATGGTATGTTCATAATTAATTGATGTTTTTATGTTCTATTTTATTAATTTTTCTTTTTTACTTTTCAGCTGGAGGTTGAGTTAAGCAAACAACGTCACGAAGGTGATCTCAAGGAGAAGAATCGATTGGCTAGAATGTTGGAGAGTAAGGTAAGTAGTTTGCTTCATATGGCTGTATTGGCTTAATCTTGATCTTTGTCTACTCAAAGTTTTAGGTTTCACTTGGTTATAATGATGAAAATATTCATTGATATGTCGATATGATCTTTGATATGTCGTATAAATACTTGTAAAAATATTATCACTTAGTCACATATATATTTAAATACTACGAATATGGTATATAAATTATTTAGAAAATTAAATAAACCTTAATTCATTGATTTAAACGAAATTTATAAATTATTTGATTTCCATCGATGTTGATATTTCACAACCCCATGTATTATTAACTTTTAACCAATAATGATTTTTCTTCTTTAATACAACTAATCTATATTATCAAATTCATATGAATTGACATATCAATGCAATGTTTGTATATGAGGCTATGTTTTATAATTCAGCTTATCTACAATTATTTTTATTATATTATAATTTACCATGTAGTTCTCAAGTGAAACTGAATTGTACGAATCTTTTCAGAATTGAATATTGGCATGCTATTAAACTGGACCTTTTGTTCTTTGTTCTGCAGAAAATTTTCCAAGAAAGAGTCATTAATCTTCGCCAAGAGGAGTTCAGCAGACGCAGAGTTGAGAGAGAAGAACAAATCAGGCAAATAATTCATGCTCGGAAAGCAGAAAGAGAGGCTAAGAGGAAGAAAATCTTTTATGTAAGGCGTGAGGAGGAGAGGATTAGAATACTACGCGAAGAGGAGGAAGCACGCAAACGTGAAGGTATTTGTTCAACATTATTTGTCTTTTACAAATCTACTAAACCCCTTTGATGCCCGTTTTGTTTTCCCCATTTTGGGTCCAATGATCTGAATTTCACATATGAAGTATGGAGGGTGTCTGTCAATTATCTGATCTTTTGAAATGTATCTTCTCAAACGTTTTTTTGTGGTCTCCTGTTTCTCGTTTGTTCGATTTAGTAACTATTTTTGGTGATCATTGATTATGCTTTTATAAGTTTGCTTGGTTGTGTAGTTTCCTTTTCTGCCTATTATAACTTATTGAATCTTTCAAACTCTGCAGAGGCCGAGAGGAGAAAGAGGGAAGAGGCTGAACGCAAGGCTAAATTGGATGAGATTGCCGAGAAGCAGAGACAGAGGGAGCGAGAATTGGAAGAAAAGGAAAGGCGGCGGAAAGAAATGCTGTTTGGTGGTGGGGCACCAGCTGATGCACCTTCTAGACCTTATGTTGCTCCTGTTTCTCAACCTCTGGAGTCCGGGGCTGCTGCTCCTGCTGCTGCCGCCGCCCCAGCCTCAGCCCCAGCGAAGTATGTGCCTTCGTTTCGACGTACTGAAAGCTCTAGCCCTAATGCACCACCACCTGAATCTGATCGATGGGGAAGCAGCAGGTCCGATAATCGACCATCTCAACCAGACAGCTGGCGCCGTGATGAACGCAGATCTGCTTTTGGAAGTTCAAGGTCGTCCTGGTCGTCATCCCGAGGTCCTAATCGTGGTAGCTCGGATCACTGATCGTGGCGAGGCAGGTCTGGCAAAGTCGGTATGAATTGGGAAGAAAAATTTTTGGTTTGCTTGAGAAGTTAAATCATTTATTGAAAAATAATCAGTTGTTTTTGGTACTATTGGGAAGGGAAGGGAAGGGAAGGTAAGGGAAGGTAAGGGAAGGTGGTCTTATGTGTGGTGCTGCATTTAGGTGGCGGAAGGATAAGACTAGTGGTGGATGAGTTGTCCATTTGTTCTCTAATTATATGAATGTACTGCATTTCATTTCATGGCTACCAATTTATAGGCCTGAATTTTCTTTTCCACACTTGTTTTTCCTTAGTGAGATGTACTGCTGCTTTTACAAGCATTTTTATGGACTTCTATATATGTCAATCTGCCATTTATAAGTTATTTCTTCTATTCCTTTTGAATTTCCATTCATCTCACTGACATGTCTTGGTTGTGGTTGTAGCGCTGCTACTTTGGCACACATTTTATGCGTTTGTGTGACTAGATTGACCGTGCGCCAGTCTAATGTGTAAATGTGGTTTAGGGTTTAGAGTTTCGGATTTAGGGTTTAGGGTTTAGGGTTTAGGTTCATTTCCTAATCCCCTAGTTCAATGTCATTTAGAGCAGTCATATATAGTTCTGGGTATTCTCTTTGGTTCAGGTTATGATTGAGAATTTTCTCTAGTTTTTTTGTCCAATTTGGCCTGGTTTACTACCTTCTAGATTGGTTTCGCTACCGTTTTAACTGATTCAACAGTTTTCGTTGCTATTTGAAGTAGATTCAAAAAGCTTTTCTAGCCTATTGTATGGTTGTGGGTGAAATTAAGTGTTGGAGTGAGTTATTTGAAGGACCTAAGGTTTAGGCATGCTTTTTGAGTCTATAACTTAGTTCTAATCCAATGACCTAAGTCTTGTTCGGAGGACCTTGACCAATTTTGAATGATTTATAGGTCCCTTTATTTCTTAATATATGTGGTAACTATATGCCTATGGTTTCTTATTGATTATTTTGAATGATTCTTATCAAAGTTTTGTAGCATACATATTTTTGTTTCCCCCTCTAAGTCTCGGTCAATATAGAATTTACAAACCAGATTGTAAAAGGTCTTAGAGTGCAAACACATTTACTGGTATCATAAAACCATCATTTCAAATTTGTGGTAACGTTATCTTTCGACAAATTCTTTTTGAATAATATCATCATTTTCTTTAACATTGTAGATAACTAAGCTTTGATGAAATATGAACGGTTTTATCTCGTTTAGTACATACTCGATATGTATATTCTATTTATTTTCATATGATGTAGATGATCTTTGTAAGAAGACAAATCACGTATATTCTAAATTTGTTTAGTCATTGATCTGAGTTGTAGACATTTTTAGCTAGTCTCGCTAAGGTTTCAGCACAGTTTGTATAACGTTCTACACGTAGTAAACATTAGAAGAAGTCAGAAATTAGTTAAGTTTTAGGTTGGTTGAATTGGTAACCCCAGCTACTCGATTAGAGTTCACAACTCTCACTATTTTTAGTTTGGGTTGGGTTGACAGACTATTTTTTCATAATTATTTAAAAAAATTATATTTATTTATTATACATGCTCTATCCATAACTAAAATTTTATAAAATTCAAAATATCAAATATTTACCAGTCGCAACACATCACTAACATCTCTCAAGTTGGTCGAGTTGACCCCTACAAAAAAAATGTCAACCCGTGAACTAATTTGAATTTTTGGTTCAAAACTTTGACACAACCTGAAGCATAAAGAAAAAAATTTAAGTCAACCCTAGTTTTATGGTTTGAATTGGATAGTCTGAATTGATTGATTTATGCAGTGGCTTGGTTAAGAGAACCCACCGGAGTCGTAGCGAAAGCGAGTCTTCATGGGGCAATTGTCACAACTTATGGACCCAAACCTAGATGATCTATCCATGACCAGGATGAAGCTTGGGTGAAACTAAGTGGAGGTCCAAATCGACTTATGTTAAAGAATTAGTGGATGAATTGTGGTTAAGAGTGAAATGTCACTCGAACCCAGAGCTAGCTAGTTCTCCCCGAAATGCGTTGAGTCGCAGCAGTTGACTAGACATCTAGGGGCAAACCACTGTTAACTAACTGATGTTGAAGAATCAGCGGATGAGTTGTAGTTAGGGGTGAAATGCCACTCGAACCCAGAGCTAACCGGCTCTCCCTGAAATGCGTTGAGGTGCAGTAGTTGACTGGACATCTAGGGGTAAAGCACTGTTTTAGTGTAGGCCGTGAGAGTGGTACTAAATGGAGGTAAACTATAAATACTAGATATGATCTCAAAATAAAAGGAGTGCCGGTGAGCTTGGATAGGGAAACCGCTTAGTCATATTAAAAGTGTTGTATTATTACTATAAATATATAATGGTACATATTAACTTTTAGGAAATATTGGCGAAGGCCTAAAACCCTCCTTTTACCCTCATCGAATCGACACCCTTCCAGTTTTGCTCTCGCTCGATCAACATGAATGCAGTCGCAATGAGATTCCTCAAGCATTTCAGGATTTCTTCTTCATTTGGTACTCTCTCTCTCTATCTCTCTCTTGTTTGATTGATTAAGGCGTATGTTCTTTATGTTCTACGAGCTGAGGGAATTTCCCAAGACGTTTTCTATGGTTTAGTGTCGAAAAGGTCGTTTGATTTTTGAAAGACGTTTTCCGAATTTTTGCAATTTGATCTTCGGAGTGGATTTTTATCAAATATACGTGGTGAGCGAACTTGTTTTTATTTTAATTTGAGAGGCTGGATGAAGAACTTGACTAATCGTATGTATGAACTTGACTAATCGTATGTATTGGGTGTCTATGTGTAATGTTTTTGCTGGAGTGGTGGCTTGATTACTTATTGAACGTTTGATTGTAGTGGCAAGTAGGCAAACGAGCTCAAAGTTGTGGTTATCGACCGGTGCTTCTGGAAGTGGCATTGATGTTGAGAAGAACAATGGAGAAGAAGAAGAATATGATGATTTTTTTAATGATAAAATTGAATTACAGCCCCAGGGTGTGGATCCCAGGCGAGGTTGGGGATTTCGTGGCGTACATAAGGTATCTGATCTTTGTCTACTGATGTGTTCCGTTTCTAAAAGTTGGGATTTGAAATCCGGATGCTGGGAATTTCACCCAAACAGTGGTGTTTAGTATCTCCAATCTGTTATTGGGATGATTCTTCATGTTTTTGGTGATTGTTTTACTTTTATCAAATTTATAAACTATCCAAAATGAAAGAACAGCTTCTATATTTTTGGTTTTTAGAAAATATGTCTAGTGCCTTGCCTTCTTTTGTTGATGAGTGTTATAGTAAATCTGATTCGAAAGAGAAGTCATTTGTGTACTTCCGTATTATAGAAAGCATAAGAATGGGGTATAGCGAGTAAGTGAGAACCGTTGTGGGCAAAGAAAGAACGAGAACTTATGTGGCTAGAGCTTGAACTTTAAAGTATGATGTAAGTGGTTTGGAACATTATATATATGTGTGTTATGAAACTCTTGGGATTTGATCTAACAAACATCTTAAAGGACAAGACCTTTAGATCTAAATTATCCAAGAACCCCAAAAATGATAAGGAATCAACCCAAGGGAAAGATTTGGAACGGATTACCTTGATGATCAAGATCAAGAATAAAGAGAACTTGTTTCTGAACACGTGATTTGAATCACTCCACAAGATAGCTTGATCAAGACTACTTGACTGACTCTAGCATGCAAATCTAAAGACAAGAAATGCAAAGGAACAAACTCATGCCTCAAGAAGCATAATATGCAACTTTCATTATAATATCCAAAGATTTTTTTTATTTTTTTATTTTTATTTTATTAGAGACAATTTCATTGATGAGTGAAATTTACAAGAGGGATGTATAATCCACGATGTTTACAAAAGACCTTCCCAATTTGCAATGAGGGAGGTATAACTATCGGAAGTAAAAATATTAGACAGTTTACACCAAGATATAGCTTGGTAAACAATATTGTCGAAAAGTTTTGTGTAGGTCTGTGTCGTTTCTGCAAATATTCTCTGATTTCTTTCTTTCCACAGATTCCAAAAGAAAGCCATGATGAGGTTTTTCCATAATAGGGCTTTTGCGTTCTTGAAAGGGTTGTACGTTAAGGCCATATCCAAAAAATCCTTTACCTCCCTAGAAAATGTGAGATGCCATCCGAATATATTAAGAATTGTTGTCCAGAAATTTTGAGTGTATGTGCATTGCATAAACAAGTGACTTTGTGATTCGTTTGCTTTCTTGCATAGTGGACACCAATTTGGAGAGAGAGTGATGTAAGACATTCTTTTTTGAAGATTTTCACTTGTGCGGATGACTTTATGCGCTATTTCCCAAATGAAGAATTTCACCTTTTTAGGTTGATGTCCTTTCCATATTGTCTTTGCTAGCGTGGGATTAATTGCTTCTACTTTTTCCCCATGTCCATCATCAAAGATTTTGTAGAAAAGACCCCGTCAGCGCTGGGGAGCCAAGTTAGCGAGTCTTCTTTGTTTGACAATACCACAGGGGCAAGGTCAAGGCTTAATTCGGCCCACTATGTTGCTTCATTATCCTTTAGATTCCTACCAAGCTTCAAGTCCCAAAATTTGTTGACAACATTCCACGTTTCTTTAATCGTGGCTTTTTTGTTGTGAGAAAGCCTGTACAAAAGTGGATACTTCAAAGCTAGCGTGGTGTTTTCAATCCATGGGTTGGTCCAAAATGATGTGCTTCCCCCATTCCCCACCTTATGGCAAGTTTGGTGGGTGATGAGATTTTGATGTTTTTTAAGTACTTCCAAGACCCTTTTGTAGAAGATGGAGGGAGGTGATCTTTGTTTGATGTAGGAGTATATTTAGCCTTTATAAGATTTCGCCATAAGGCCTTTTCTTCATGATGATATCTCCATATCCATTTGGCGAGGAGAGCTGTGTTCTTCCTTATCGAGAGAAGACCGAGACCTCCCTTTTCTGTTGGGAGGTTTATAATATTCCAACAAACAAGGTGTGCACTATCTTTCCATAAGTAATTTCTGAAAAACCTTTCTATATCCATGGCCACTTTTTGTGGCATTTCAAATAGAGACATATAGTAGGTAGGGAGGTTGGATAATGTGCCCTGTATTAGGGTAAGTTTTCGCCTTTTGAAGTATAACGTGATGACCATGTTGACAACCTTCTGCCTTTTGAAGTATTGTACCAGGTTGGATAATGTGGCTTGTATTATAAGGTTTATTTTCAAGCCTATAAATAAGCATTCATGTTATTTATGTTGTTGTATTAGTATAATATCCAAAAATCTTGATACTAAAGCAACAATATCCAAAAATCTTGATACTAAAGCAACCACATAAATAACATGTATGCCTATTTATAGCCTTGAAAATAAACCTTATAAACCTATGGTTAGTTCATTGAAAGGTTGTAACTTTTATGGCCATCAAATACCATAATGGCCACTATCTAAAAGTGACTTATAATCTTAAAGATAATTTTCTAAAACTTAAAAATATAATAAAGTACTTAAATCTTTGTGGCATGATTAAGACATCTTATTTCGTATCAGTATGTGTGATGTATTGTAAGGTTCCAGGTGAACAGGTAGGATGAGTAATTTCTTAGATAGTTCGGAAAGTCTTAAACGAATCACTTGTAAGCGAGACTTGAGAGGTATGATGGGCAACAATTAGAGTGAGTTTGGGAGAAACCCAGAGCTCTGTAACTTTGGTGGTTCTGGAATCTGTCGCTGATTGTGAAAGATTTACTCTCACATGATAATTGGATTCATATCAGCTATTTATAGATAGATTATACAACATAACTAACATTACCGGGAAGCCTAACTAATCAGCTAAATAGTTAACTAATTTTCTTCTCCTTTAGTGTGTCTGTTCCCATCTTTTGTGGAATATACCTTTCTCTGTTTGTTGTCCAAAAGGAAAAAAAAACAAAAAAAACGCATCTGAATATATCAGACAATAGTTACCTCTCTTTAGCATTTGATTAAATATCTTCCTTGGAGGGTTACATCGCAATCTTAGGTATAAGTCCCACCCCAACTAAGCAGAAGAAATTATATTTGATTCAGGTTATTAGATAATGTGAAAACGAGGTAAAAACCAGGAAAATCATGTCTCTTTAAATTTTTTATCTTCTGCAGAGAAATAAGAGTTCAGTTATCCCCAATATAATGTTTATTCTGTTTAAAAATGTAATCAAATGTTTGCAGGCAATAATTTGTGGAAGGATTGGGCAAGCCCCTGTGCAGAAGATCTTGAGAAATGGGCGCACAATAACAATCTTTACAGTTGGAACAGGAGGGATGTTTGACCAACGAATTGTTGAAGCAAAAGATCTGCCAAAGCCTGCTCAGTGGCATCGTATTGCTGTGCATAATGAACCGCTTGGTGCTTATGCAGTTCAACAACTTGTTAAAAAGTATGATCTGAACTTCTCATAAAACTAGTTTGTTTGTACAATTTCACTGATTCTTGGTTAACTATATCAGCGCATCGGTTTATGTTGAGGGCGACATTGAAACCAGAGTCTACAATGACAGCATCAATGGTGAAGTCAAAAATGTCCCAGAAATATGTGTTCGACGGGATGGTATTACAATACTTACTATTATCTTTTGATTTCCTTTTCAATGTTTTTGTAATAGCCCAAGCGCATCGCTAGCAGATATTGTCCTCTTTGAGCTTTCCCTTTCGGGCCTCTCCTCAAGGTTTTTAAAACGTGTCTTCTAGGGAGAGCTTCCCACACTTTTATAAAGAATGCTTCATTCTCCTCCCCAATCAATGTGGGATCTCACAATCCATTCCCCTTTGGAGCCCAGCGTCCTAGCTGGCACTCATCCCCTTCTCCAATCGATGTGGGCCCCCCCAATCCATCCTCTTCGGGGCCCAGCATCCTTGCTGGCACACCGCTTCGTGTTGACCTCCTTTCGAGGCTCAGCCTCCTTGCTAACATATCGCTCGGGGTCTGGCTCTGATACCATTTCTCGATTTGTGCATGTCATCCTTGTGCAGGGGCCATGCTAATCTTCTCTGTATCGTTCCAATTTTATCGGATGTCCTTTTTTTTTGTGAGGTCCCACATCGGTTGGAGAAAAGAATGAAACATTTTTTAAAATAGTGGAAACATCTGCTATTCCTAGCAGACGTGTTCTAAGAAGACAATATTTACTAGCGGTGGGCTTGGGCTATTACAGTATCTTAGATTAATAAGAGTCATCATCTTATAACTTCTCTGCATCTACATGATTTTTTCGTAAAGGTCATTTTAAGCATCTAGAAGGGCGTCCTTGAATGTTCATAATCATAAAGATTAAATTATCATATTAGTTCATATTGTTTGTACTTATGTTTAAAGCCATAGGAACAAATTGAAATTAAAACTACAAATTATGAAGACAAAAAGGGTTAATCTATCCTAATCTTTATATGGTATGAACAGAAAATTATTCACGACCATGAACAGCTAATACTTTTATTAAATGTTAGTTCAAGTTTGATCTGTGAAAGACCTTATTGGGGACCCTTTTAACTGCCATGCTTCCTTTTTTGCAGGGAAGATTCGGCTTTTAAAGGCCGGAGAAAGTGCCAGCAATATTTCTCTGGACGATTTAAGTGAGCTTTCCAGATAACATTCTGTATATGTGATTACTAAACACGGAACAATGCATTGCATGACAACTTTTTTCATTCTTTCTCGCAATCTGATGTGTTTTTTTTTTTTTTTTTTGTTTGTTTTGTAATTGACAGAAGAAGGGTTGTTTCAGAACGAGACATAACATGTTGCCAAAAACCTCAATCAGTTGGAAGTTTGTGTAGCTTTGTATATTTGGCACGAGAAAGAGAGAGAGACGGTATTACTTTCCATTCAAAGATTAGTACTGAAACCACCAATGCCTCATAATCTCTTCTTGCAATTGTTTAGTTTATTAGCGTTGTAGCATTTTGTTCTTCAAGGCTCTTAAAGCCAGTTTTGTGTTAGATTGGCCAGGGATATTATTATAGGCTCACAAGACTTGTCACTGCTGATGATGCCTTTATTCTTGTTTCAATGCATTTCTCCTAACAAGTGATGGCATCATAGTTTTGAAATCCACAGATTAGACAAAGTTCAATAGAAGACTGTTAATTGTTAATGCCTTGTTTGATAATTGTTAATGCTTCGTTTGATAATTATAGAACGCTGATGCTGTTGAGGTGATAGCAATAATAAGCGGGGAAGTTGAAGCAAGAGGTATTCAAAGAACTTTTGTATAATCAAACTTCCATTTCATTGGTCTCTAAGATAAAGTCTCGCTTAATCGTTCATTTCTCATTTCTTCTTTCTTTAGTCGGTCATATCTGATCTGTATCTGATAGCGACATGAGAAAACGCCGTATTTGGAGGTTCTGGTTCTTGCACTGGGGAGTCGAAAACGTCGACCTCCATGAGAGGTGTAATTTTGTTACTGTTTTAATCTCAAGCCTAATAGCCCGTTCAACCAGTCATTTCATTGGTCTCTAAGATTAAGTCTTGCTTAATCATTCATTTCTCTTCTTCTTTCTTCAACTAGCCATATCTGAACTGTAGCCGGTAGCAACATGAGAAAATGCCATCTTCGGAGGTTCAGGCTGGCGCCGAAGAGTCGAATACGTCGACCTCCATGAGAGGTGTAATTTCGTTACTGTTTGAATTCCAATCCCAATATCCTTTTCAACCCGTCATTTCATTGGTCTCTAAGACTAAGTCTTGCCTAATCATTCATTTCTCTTCTTTCTTCAACTAGTCATATCTGAACGGTAGCTGGTAGCAACATGAGAAAATGCCGTCTTTAGAGGTTTAGGCTTGTGCCGAAGAGTTGAAAACATCGACCTCCATGAGGTATAATTTCGTTAATGTTTGAACCCCAATCCCAATAGCCTTTTCAACTCGTCATTACATTAGTTTCTAACGCTAAGTCTCGCATAATCATTCATCTCTTTTCTTCTTTCTTCAACCAATCATATCTGATATATAGCTGGTAGCCACATGAGAAAACGTCATCCTCGAAAGTTCAGGCTTGAGTCGTGGAGTCGAAAGCGTTGACCTCCAAGAATAAAAAGGGAAATTGACACCATCATCTAGACTTATTAAGTAATTGCAATGGAAATCCTTGCAACTTATAAAGCAAAACAGGAGCAGATGTGACAGAATGCTAAGACGACAAAGGGACTGTCACAAAGAAATAGTCAATAGACATTTTTGTCTGATATCAATGTTTGTCTATGTTGTCAGTGAGTGAGTGAGTGAGTCAGTCAACAGTTTGAGCAAGAAACCAAATGAAAGCAAAGCTTTTTAGAAGTCTCCAAAACATCTTTCTTCTACCAACTTTCTTTGATCTCAACCTCATTTTCTTACACACATCTATCTGTAACAATCACCACAGGGGAAACCCAAAAAACAAGTAATGCTCACACTGCCAGATGAGGGAACAAAAAAAAAAAAAAAAACTATATAGAGTTATCAACATACACTATGTTATGGGATAAATTACTAAACAGTTATTGTAGGTTTTATTGGCCTTTTCCCTTCCATGGCGTCTTTCTTTCTTCTACACTTTGCACAGAGGAATGGACCTTCCCATGGCTTTGACGACGGTGAAAAGAACGGCCCCGAATTCATCGACAAATTTTCATTCGCGGGTTGATCCGCTTGACAGACTGCACATTTGAAGATCCCTGAGTTTGGATCCGAAGGAAAATCTTTCCCTAACCTGTATTTCCATTCAAAGAGGAGAAAGTTCAAGAATAAGTGATGGTGAACATGTTTCAAGTCACTTTCAGATGGAAATTACAACATTTCTGCAGAATATAGCAGTTTCAATGAAAAAATAAATTAATTACAGTACCATTTATATCAACATTGAGGAAAATAATCCTAGGAAAATATCAATATAACAAGTTAGGCAGAGTAGGAGTCTTAGTTAAATTGAATGAGGGATAACAAGTAAACAGCATGTGAGATCTCACATCGGTTGGAAAGGAAACAAAACATTTTTTATAAGGGCGTGAAAACCTCTCCCTAGCAAACGTGTTTTAAAAACCTTGAGGGGAAGCCTGAAAGGAAAAGCCTAAAGAGGACAATATCTAAACGTGTTTTAAAAACCTTGAGGGGAAGCTGAAAGGAAAAGCCCAAAGAGAACAATATCTCATAACGGAAGACTTGGACTATTATAAATGATATTAGAGCCAGACACCAAGTGGTGTGCCATAGAGGATGCTGGGCCCCAAAGGAGGGTGGATTGTGAGATCTCACATTGATTTGAGAGAGGAACAAGTGCCAACAAACAAGGGCGCTGGGCCCTGAAGGAGAGTGGATTGTGAGATTCCACATAGATTGGAGAGTAGAACAAAACATTCTTTATAAGAGTGTGGAAACCTTTCCCTAGTAGACACGTTTTAAAAACTTTAAAAGGAAGCTTAAAAGGAAAAGTCAAAAGAAGACGCGCTGTTACATAGTTGTTATGATTAATTGAACACTGATGTATAACAGATAATGAGAATAATCCTAGAAAAATGTGTTCAGACATCATCATTTCATGCTTCAAGAACAAAATTAGATAAAATGGCAACACAAGAAAGAAAAAAACATTGATTCAAAGACAAGATTACTTCAATTTCCCAAAGAAAGCACGCATCATACCTTTCAGAAAGCATAGCAGAGCCTTCTTCAAACAATTCCTCCACAACTCCAACAGCAGAAAGTTTGTTGGCAGATTTACCAAAGAGAGAAGTGAGCACATTCTGCTTCTTCCTTGGAGTTGATGGTAATAATATAGGTTGATCGGATGGGATAATATCAACAACTAAGCAAGTTGTATCATCCTTCAACCCCCTTGACCGTAAAGCCTCCTACAATATGAACAGATTAAAATACAATGCATCACATAAGTCTCAATTTAAAAAGAAACGAATCAGAAAAGTCTACAAAAGTATCCCTGGAAAAAGTTCACTTTCTTAAATAAGATTCAAAATCATAACTATTAACAATGTTTTTATAACGGCCCAAGCCCACCGCTAGTAGATGTTGTCCTCTTTGGGCTTTCCTTTTCGGGCTTCCCCTCAAGGCTAGGGAGATGTTTCTACGTCCTTATAAAGAATGCTTCGTTCTCCTCACCAACCAATGTGGGATCTTACAATCCATCCCCCTTCGAGGCCCAGTGGGCACACTGCCCAGTGTCCACACCCCCCCCTTTGAGGTTCAGTGTCCGCGAAACTTGGGTTTGATACCATTTGTAGCAGCTCAAAACCACCCATAGCAGATATTGTTCGCTTTGACCTATTACGTATCGCCGTCAGCCATGCGGTTTTAAAACTCATCTAGGACAAGGTTCCCACACCTCTTTTGTTCACCTCTCCAATCAACGTGGGATCTAACAGTTGTCCAAAGCCTTAGTGGGTAGAAGTAGTAATGAGATACAAATTACAAACTAACTCCTGCACCTTATTTCATGAATGGGCAATCCGAGGACGACATTCCAAGAAGCAACTTCCTATGGTTCTTGGGCATGAAGATAAGGTTTGCAAGCTAAGTTGTTAAACTATTTGAAGTTCACAAAATTGGTATTGATTTTATAGTCATTTAACAAGGAGTAAAGACAATTAAGCTAAAGTGCATTTTCATGGAGGCCTAAGCTTCTTCTTAGAGATCTATGCCCCTTATGACCCAAAGGTGTAAGATCAAGGACATAAACTTTGTAGTCTAGCCTCAAGGCGTAAGTTCAAAAGCCACTTAGAATGTATAGTTGAAACCCACCTTCACAACCAGCTTGGCAGCGAGCTCTGCAGGTAAACCTCGACACGACTTTGCAGCCATATCAGACGATAATGTGTCCCAAATACCATCAGACGCAATAATTAGCCTTCCACCAGCATTAGAAAGCTGTATAATCCAGAATAAAAAGATAGCAGAATAGTCAAGGTACATTCTATTAGTAGTCAAACAATTACTGAAAGATTGAGAAGTCACCTTCACTTGCTTAACATGTGGTATTGGGACAATATATTCTCCTACATCTGTATCACCAATGGACCTAGAAAGACATAAGCCACCGGGCCAGCAGCGGAGAGGACCGACCTGCAAACGGTAGTCATAAAAAGGGCTATAGTTAAATGTGTCATCATGTAAGACTAGAAACAGTGGAGATGTATACAATTATACCTCATTCCCGCCAAAAACATTGAGCCTCCCAACCTCGCCACCACTTGCAGTTACACGTTCCCTCTCTTCCTCGTTTTCCTCCAGCCTATGATCAACTGTCAATAGAGAAACCACACCTCCTTGGGTGTCTAATATGCATCGTGAATCTCCCACGGATGCAACGGTAACAGTCCACTTATCAATCACAACAAATGTAACAGTAGTCCCAGAAGTTTCCCCTGCAATTAAGATTAAACGGAGCATAAGGACACGGTGGACAACACATCGAGTATTCAGGAAGAAGAACAAGAAGAAAATCGCTGATAGAATACCTTTCTGCTGAAACTCTATGTCAGTTTTAACAAAACCAGCAACTAGTGCTCGAGGAAGGGCTTGAAGCCATTTTTCTCGACTGACCCCTTGAGGAATTGCACTTAGGACATTACCCAATAAATGTTCCTTAGCAAAAATAGCCGCTGAAATGCCATTATGTCCATCAAAAATCTGCAAATACAAGGTTCAATCAATCTCAGTATTATCCTATTTTCCCAGTTCTAAGACTCATAATCACCCTATTTTCTCAATTCTCCAGTAATCACAGAATTTATGATAACAAAGAGCACAATAATGCTTGAAAGGATACCGCAAAGACAGAAAACGTGGTGGAAGTGTTCCCAGGAATACGGTGGCAATCTAATTTGATCAGAAAGTAGTCCTCCCCTTTCTTTGCCAAAGCAGCCTGTCCATACTTCACAAAAGGTTTCTCAACCTTCTCGTTCCTCAGCTCGCGACCGATCAAAGTAGCGAGCGGAACGAGAGGGGGCTTAATCCTTGATACTTCTGTCTGACTCATTTCATCCTATGTTTCGGCATTTGCATGAGCGCAGTGCAGCCAAAATTCCTGGTCATTGAAATCAATTAAATGAGTATCAACCAACATCTCGACCAAAACACAAACTATAGAACAATTCCCACTGG